CATTAGCACTTCTAGTAATATATTTACTGAGAAAAATGGTGACGTGTTCAATACTTATTTTACCCGCTGTATGTCTGATGGATAAATCTGTCTAAGCTGATGAGCCGGAGTGTCGCCTGCTGCCATCAATCAACACGTTTGCAGGTGATTTTTGTTCTGCGGAGATGTTCGACATTATGGGGCCCGTTTAGAGACGCAGCTGAGCTACAATGGCCCCCCAATTACTCAAAGTCAATTTTTTGGCATCGGTCGCCTTTTTCTAATGACCGCTCTGCTGCAGAGGCTCTGTTTACGCATCGTGTCGTCCATTTCCCCCTCATTCCTCCTCCTCCGGGCTGAGCCACTGCTCCACCCATGTGCGCAGCAAAAAGACGTTTTTAGACCAAATATTACAGATTTGAACAAATACACACAAAAACATCAAAATTAGCTCAGAAACAGTACTATATAACATTTTAGACACATTCTAGACAGTTTATCAGCTAAAAAAAGTTAATTTTGGGGTAAGTTACTCTTTAACCTAACTTGTGACAACTGTATGTGCTTTGCTGAGTCTGTCCTAATATTGAGCTGCATTCACAAATTCATCTGTCTGTGAGTTTGAGTCTTGCTTAGAGCCTCGGAGTTAAGATGAATATTTTAACCTTTTCTTTTTTTACTTTTATATTTAGAATTATTTTATGTGATGTCTTCCCCCCATTTAACTTTGTTAACCTGGAGTATTTTGCAGAATTATTACTCAAAATTAAATTAGAAATTAAATCTAAAAAGTTGTGTACCTATCTGATTAATTTTAACCAGGAGGCATTTCTCTGTTTTAATATTAGAACAGACTTTTCATAACACATGACCTGCGGGGAGGGAGAAAAAAAGACAACAACTTTGTGTACAAATAACTGATTAAATAAGAAATGTAGACTATATACTGTATCTTAAATTAATGTTCTACACACTAAAATGTATGCACATGAGCTGCTTCTGTTCAAGACGCTTTTGAAAAAGGTTCTATTCAGTATTTTCACCCACCTTTAAGGCTCTTCAGAACCAGACCCAGTTCCTCTGTGTGATGAACTCTCTCTATACCAGTCAAGGCAGCCGCCCCGTCCATTCCTGACCGAGGTCCGTCCCAGAGTTCCCTCCCCGGATCTCTGTGAGGCACGAACAAGATGGCCTGATCCGGTCGACCCTTCCCATAAAGAACCAAGGCACTGTCGGGTTCCAAGAAGCCACTGAGGTAGAGGAAATTCTAGGGAGCAGTTAGCTTCAGGTTATTAAACATTGAAGAAACATTTTTTAAGGATGACGACAGCTAAAACTTACCTGGTTCTGGTGGAAGGGGTAAGGGATGTCATTTGTCATGTAGCGGGTTGGGTGGGATAGGACGATGACCACGTGGTTGCTGGAGGAGGTAGAAGGTCCCAGCTTGTCTGCCTGGGCCTCGATTAGTGAGGCCAACTTCTGCCGGCGGAGCTCGTATTCAGTCTGTGTTATCCCTGGGGTCACCTCCCCTGAGGAGCAGAGAGAGACGAGTTCTAAATCCTCGGAGGAAATGCACTGATGGGTGGTGTGAATCAACAGCAGAGCATTGTTCGCAATAAAAATTGTAATAAAATAAAAATGTAAAAATTGCCCACCATGTTTGATGAGGTGAGGATGAGTGAAAGGACTGGGCTGACCAAGGTACCGACATGGAACCGTCTTTGGTCTCACACTTCCTGGTTTCACAAAAATACGTCTGCATGGGCACCAGATGAATCCTACACATAAGACAACACATATTGAAAAATACTGCAGGGTTCAACCAGCAGGTGTCCTGAGGCCTATTTCTCAAAAGTCAGATTTCTAAATTCAGGATATGAGCTGTAAGCTGAGGTTGAACTAGCCTTCAACTTGTAAACAGCTGTAATCAGTTGCTCTAACACCAAGCCGCGCTCAATTAGGGTGGTTCATTCAAGTCAGCTGTAAATAATCTGGGAGTAATGTGCGTTCACGGTTTGGTTACTAGACCCACTGGGTGGATCAAAGATTTCCTGATCAGGCATGCGCAATAAGGCACGTGAGTCTCACTTCCTCCAGGAGTTTAATGGTTAATTATGATTCATATGAAGAGATGAAGAGAAACACCGAC